TTATTCTATTTTTATCTTAACTCCGAGCAATGACGAGGTGAAAATCAAACAAATGACGTCGTCGACTTCTCCGATACGATGAAAGATCGATAACGAGAGGTGAGATACGCTTCGATCGTTCGTACGTAAGTTCGACCGAATCGTTTCTTTTAAAGCAAACGATAGAAGGATCGTAATGATCATTGTTGAATAAATCAAAAGTAATCGATGGACAATGTACTTTTCCTTGAAACGTAACGTTATGCCTGAAAACGATTTCACGGCAAAGAGGGAGAAATAACGTCTCTTCGGAATGCTGCAGAAATTCGATCGCGAACGAGTCTTGTTCGATCACGCGATGTGACCACGAAAAGAGAAAGAAAGAGGCTTCTCTTCTGTCTGCTCGAACGATATTCATCGATATATCTCGATAGTTCTTCTCAAAGTATACGAGAAACAAATTCCTCGTCTCTCTTCATACAAATTTTGCCAGATATTTATGTTTTTTCTCACAATGAAACCCTTCGATACAAGATTATTACATTATTCCTCAAAGATAACTATTATAGACGAAATTATTTCGAGAATATTCGAGTAGTTTAGTAAAGTTATAGGCCAGGACCAAGAATTTTCGCGAAAGAAAAGGACTCAGAGGACGCACTACGGAAGCTGCTGAAGCAACGGGAGCGTATCGAAAGATCCAGCGTTGATAATCCTTCGGGGTAGGTCGGTACAACGTGCTCACCAAGTCTTGCCTATCGAGGTGAGCTGAGAGTCGAGAAAGGTGGCTGAGAGAGATGGAGAAAGAGAAAGAGAGAGAGAGAGAGAGAGAAAGAAAGAAGAAAGGAAAGAGGAACATCTCTTCCCTCCTTCGTTGAACCTCTCTCTCTCTCTCTCTCTCTCTCTCTCTCTCTCTGTCTCTCTCTCTTTCTGTTCCTCTTCCTTAGCAAGGTACGTGGCGATGCTCAGGTGTAAAACCGTTGATTGCCACGGTAGTATTTTCTCTTTGCACGGCAGAGATGGTAGCGGTGGGCGTGCCGGGCACGACCGTAGGGAGACGGCCAAGGCCTCCTTATCGTGCTACCGCGATTATGTTTATTATACTTCGGCGCGCACGCGTGTGCGTACGTGCGAGTACTTACGTCGGCAAGCGAAATGCGTTCTCTCCTCTCTTTTCTTTTCTTTTCTTCTCCTATCCTTTCCTCTGTTATCCTTTCCTCTGTTATCCTTTCCTCTGTTATCCTTTCCTCATTCTACTCCTACTCCTCTTTTTCCTCACTTCCTCCTTTACACTCTTATTCGTAATCTCCCTGTCGCGAACGTGACGGTGCAGCACGTTATATGAGGCTACGCGATAAGCAAGAAATAAAGATATAGTACTTTTATTTCATTATTTTCATAATATTCCCCTTTTTAAATGTTTTTCGTTTTCATTATTTTTTCTCTTTTTTCTTTTTTTCGTTTTTCTTTTTTACCGTTCTATCATTTTTCTCGTAATTTTCTTTAGGTACTTACTATTTTAGATTATTTTTGTCATTTCTCCGAGAATTTTTGTAAATTTTCTTATTAAAGTTTCGTGTCTATCATCGTTACTCGATACTATTTACTTGTTTTTTTTCTCTCTCATTTGCGTTTCTCAAAGATATTGAAATTGATAATTGAAAGAACGATCGAGATGGCGAGTATCAGTTAGCTTGCTAGGCTTGCTTTGCTAAACTGGTTTACGATACGGGCGTATATCTCGTTAATGGAAGTTCGCGCAAAGTCGCGTACTTAGACGAGAACGCTAAATCGAGTGGAAGGATCGAGAAATCGATTGGATTTATATAAGTAAACCTACGCACGAGAGAGAGAAGGTAGAAGAATGAAAAATAGATAAACAAAAGAACAAAAAAAAAGAAAAAAATGGTTCAATCGGTGTTATCCACTAAGTCGATATTCATCAATAGTCGATCTTAAAGGATTTATCGGCAAGTAAAATAGTCGTATGCAACTTTTCGATTACATCTTTTCATCGGAAGCTTGAAAATTCAATTATCGGGACTTACAACTGTGTTAGAATAGAAACACTCGAACAACGATTATTTATCGAGATTGATTTTGTATTATAGCTTAACAAGATTCAGTCAATAAACATAATATAATATCAAAACGTATAATCTTTCTCTCTCTCTCTCTCTCTCTCTCTCTCTCTCTCTCTCTCTCTCTCTCTCTTTCTTTTCCCCACTTTTTTATTCGAACTCGATTCTCCATCGACATCATCGTCTTCGTCGTCGTTGTCAGCGTTAGAATTCCATCGAGATGGAGCCTTGACATTTCGTGGCCTGGAATCAACCGGCATAATTGATCGGCCTCTGGGGCTCCCATTCGACGACGAAGGAACGGACGAAGAAGGAACGCTATTCCATTCCGTCTGCTTCTCTTCTACGATTACGACGAACTCTTCGCGTACGACCTCGCCAAGAGAGAGACGATGGAACGCGGCCACCACTACACCTCGTCAACTGGATTCCATCGTTTCGTAGAACGAAATTGAACGAGGCGCCCGTTTTCTATCATCATTTTTCCAACCAGGACACTCCATTGATAATTCTCTACTGTCTTTCATTCGAAAAAATAAAACGAACGATGTAAACAGAGTTTGAACAAATTTCATAAGAAATAATAGAATAGAAGAAAACATTATATTCCGAAAGAAAAACGAATACTAAGAAATGAACTTATTGGGAAGATGAAAAAACACAAGCTAACGAAGGTAATAGGAATTTTTGTTGGTTTCTTATCTCGACCGGGGAGGTACACGGATTTTCGACCGTAAACCAATTAAACGGTTGTACTCAAATACGTGTTTGGTATATTACCTTTATATACTTCGCACGACATCCAATCAGAAAAAAAAGAAATATCCTCTTTACCGCGGCGGTCCTTCTTAAAAAAAATCTCGACGATTCCGTTGGAAATACGAGCGGCGCGATTCCATTAAAACAGCTCTCGCGTACCAACTAACCAACCGACCGACCGACCGACCGACCAACCAACCGACCAACCAATCGACCAACCAACCAACCCATCCGGCGGAGGAAGGAGAGCTTCCGAAGCCGAGCGATTAATTCGAGTGAGGCTGGTTCTGGACTCTATTTAATTACACACGCGTGTAGTATCCGTCGTTCCAACGTTTTACCCCCCGTCACTCTCGGTCGGCTATCGTGCATCAAGAAGAGGGGCGCTTCGTTATATTAAAGACGGTAATAAAGGTCTATATGTGTATATACACGCATATGAGAATGGGTATGCACGCACGTCATTGCCCCACGGATCTTCTCTTCAGAGTCTCCTTACGATTTGTTCCGCTAAAAGAGAGTGAGTCAGAGAGAAGGAGACAGAAAGAAAGATGGTGCCATCGAATAAATGTTCAGCACCTACGACAAACAAATGCCACGAGCCTTGAGATTTTATATCGTTGTCGATACGAAGCCAACGACGACGAGGATGTGGCTAAGGTTCAATTCGTAAGAACTAAAGGGAATGAGATATATATGTATATGCATGTGTTCGCGGTAACTGCTTGCGTGTAGGTACTAAAAATTTTATTGCGTCGCGTTTATAGAGAGGAAAAGACAGAGAGTGAGAGGGTGGGGGTGCGGGTGGGGGGGATAGAGAGTAAAAAAAGATAGAAAGAGAGACAAGTACCGTGGCGCAAAGGCTTGTTTAACAAAGTAATGACTACGATTATTCTACTTTACATTTGGTTCTCTCCGAGCAACGTTCGCGATACCTTTTCCAAAGGAAGAAGCTGTTGCCCCCTGGCAATTTACGAGAGATAATCGTCGCTCGAGCGGAGTTACGACTACCGCGTCGTCGTCGACGGCGGCGGCTGCTCTCTTACATTAAAAGCTTCATTTTTCTTTCCTTTCTTTCTTATTTTTTTTCCCAATTTTTATTCTTCCTCATTGAAGCCCATTTTCTTCATTCCTGTCCGAATAAACTTACGAGCGTACAACGACGATCGCTTCGTCTATTACTTTTTCGTCGATCATAAGTTGTCTCGCAGAATTATAATCGTGTATCCCCTTCCTTTGGCGTTACTTTCTCATCTCCCTTTTCATTACTGCCGATCGATTTTTCTTAAACCGATTAATATACTCGTTTTTGAAGGGTGGCCCGATTTCGTTTTCGTTTTTTTCGGTATCTCGATAAAAAAAAAGAAAAAAATTTGTAAAGAGAAGATGGGGTGGAGAAAGAGAGAGAAAGAAATGGCGTCAAATCGGTATAAATATCGTCGAAGAAAGGTTCGCGTGCTTCGACACCGTCGGACAGCATCGAACCGATAAAATACAACATCGTTCACCCTCTCTCGACTTCTTTCTTGATTCTTTTGCGACTTCTCTCTCTCTCTCTCTCTATCTATCTATCTATCTCTTTTTCTCTTTCTTTCCCATCGGTTAGGGTGCGCGCGAGCGCGAAGGAAAAATAGCGCTGCGTCGTTCGTGCCGTGGCTCGTTCAATTTACATAAACACGTACTCATTGATTGCCGGACCAGATTGTCGAGCGTTATTACTTCTACGACCGGTTAACTCCGACGTAGGACCGAGAATAATCGTTAAGCCCTAATCGCTTGCTACGCACCGACCTCGACCTCTCTTTCTTTCTTTCTATCTATCTCTCTCTCTCTCTCTCTCTCTCTCCCTCTATGTCCCTGTGTACGTCTTTCTCTTATTATTCTTTGATGTGGAAATTACTATCTCTCTCTTCTCTAGCTATCTCTTTTTTATCCGTTTATAACTTGTTGGAAGTGTCTTTACCCCTTCAGCCCCCATGCGTGCCAGTCGCGATTCGTTGTCTAGATAATGACACTTGATAATCCGCTTTTAAGATACGTATGGTAAAGAGAAAGAATAATCATATGGTGGACGTGTATTACATCGAATCGTCGTAAAAAACTATCTCGTTTAAATTCGTTAAATATTATATATATATATATATATATATATATAAATAATACAATGTACTTATTACTCACCGGAATGATAGAAAAAGGATCCACCAGCAGTCCCGTCGCGATTATGATAGCCGTTCTTTTCAGGACCTGAAACGAGATATGTTACCTATGTCAAGATTTGAAATTAAAAAAAAATGTTCTTACATAAGAACATCACGATGATTTGAATATTTTCGTTTCAAAATTGAAATCAATAGATAAAAGGTGAAATACGTTTGAAGTAATCTATTATCCGTGGACGAGGATCAAAAACTCATATCGATCTTTCGACGAACGTAAATGGAGGAGGAGGAAGAAAACTAGAATAAGAATAAGAGAATAAGAATAAGAGAATGAGAATAAGAGAATAGAGAAAAGGTTTGTAGTCGGAGGGAGTTAGAGTTAGCTAAGCTAGCTGGCTAGCAAGGAAGCAAGAGATGCGCAGATGGAACGGTTGTATCGATCGATCGATCGACGAATGCCTTCATGCTCTAGCAGTGCAACCGGAGGTGGTACTCGAGAGCACCACCCACGAAGTTAACTACTTAGTATGCACGATCAGCCAGAAGGTACCTACCTACCTATCTGACAAGGTTAACTAATACAGCTTCCTCGGTCGCGCGCGCGCGGTCTCTTGATTAGAAATACGTCGATAAATCAGGGGAAGGGAGACGAGAAACAGCCACGTAGATAAGCATAGAAGAGAAAGGAGAACCTCTCCTCCTCCTCCCCCCCCTCTCTCTCTGTCTCTCTTTCCGTTTAAATCTTTTGCTTTCTCTCAGTCGTTCCTGTAAGTATAAACGTGCTGTTAGAATCGAAGATGGAAAGAAGAGAAAAACCCGCGCGAGAGTTCTTCTTCTCCTCGTCGAATGAAAAAGAAGGAAAGAATGAAAGGAAGGAGGAAAGAAATGAAAGAAAGAGATAGAAGGGAAACGGGGAATGTTGTTGGTGCTCTCGAGAAAGGAGACAGAATCGAGTCCTCCGGTAATTGATCGACTTCTACGCGTGTATATAGGCGCTCTCGAGAACGTTCAGCCTGAGCGGACTTTTGCCGAGTCGTAACGAGATAATTAAATCAATATAGTAGAAGAGCCCGGCAGAAGAGTTTAATTGGACGGCACGCTTCGCGATCTTCTCTTCTCTTCTCTTCTCTTCTCTTCACTTCTCTTCTCTTCTCTTCTCTTTTCTTCTCTTCTCTTCTCTTCTCTTCTCTTCTCTTCTCTTCTCTTCTCTTCTCTTCTCTTCTTTTTCTCTCTTTCTTTCTCTTTCGTTCCTCGCGAAAGCTTCGCGCGTCAAAATGCGAAGCAACGAGAGAGATCTTCGCAACGGGGAGTCCTGGCTACCGGAAATTTTCTTTCCTTCCTTTAATCTCTTTCTTACACCATCATATCCCCGCCACGTTTCTTTCCTTTACCTTACCTTTCGACTTGTACCTTTATTTTAAAGAATAAGACAAAAAAGAAACAAGAAAATTTAACTATAAACTCTATCGTAAGATAAACCATTTTGACAAACATATTATAGAAAGATAAGATTTGAACCGTGTATATGATGGTAATAAAGGCGGAATCCAAAATCAAATAAATCATGTTTCGGAATGTTTAGGAAAAAATATTGATATCGATGGAAATCACGAATGAAACCAGTTTTACCAACGCAAATGGGATGATAGCTCTCCAGTTTGCTCTACCACCTCGAGCATCATCCTTGGCGCTCGATCGCTAGAAATTTGTGGTTTCTCTTTATCGAATCGTTTCCATTCCATCGACACGTCTCTCGGTAGCAATAACACGAACCCATCGCTATCTACAACTACTCTATCCTTTTCTCTCTCTCTCTTTCATCAGAAAGCGCATAGAGGAGACGAAGGCAGAAGAGATTCCGGTCGATCTTTACTCTTAGCCTGCAGAAAGATTACTGTTTTATGCCACGATGAAACTATCTCTCTGGACTCTCTCTCTCTCTCTCTCTCTCTGTTTGTCTGTCTGTCTATTTCTCTCTCTTTATTTTTCTTTCTCTTTCTCTCCGTATGCTCGAAGGTGCGGCCAAGCACGTTCGCGATAAAAGGAAAAACGATCAGGATGGGAAGTGAAAAAAAAAAAGAAAGGGGGAAAAAAGGAAAGAAAAGAAAAAAGTAAAAAAGGCAGAAAGATTTCCCTGAGGCTTCGTAAACTCGAGTTCCTCTACTCTCGTCTCGGCTCCGAGCTAGATCATTTTATCGGTCGAGCAGTAACGTAGAAATCAAGAAGCGAGACGACGACGACGTACAATATTTTACCGAGTTTCGTGACTACTTTTCTTTATTTTTATTCTTTTCTTATCACGATTTCATTTTTTCATATTTTATTCGAACGACGAAGGTAGTAGACCCCCGTTTTTTTCTTTTTATCTACTTTACATCTGGAACATGTGTCTTTTATTATCGTTCTTGCTATAACAGTAATAACGTTTGTAACTCCTTATTCGATTTTTTACCATTTTGTAATTTTTCAGAATGAAAGCAGCAAAAAATTATGATCGCTATCCTCTGTTCTTTCATCATGCGAGAAATGGGGTTGGAGAAGGGGGAAATTAGCTTCGAAAAAGAGATCGAGTTGATGGAAAGATAATCATAGGTGGTATATATCCTTGGAATGGAGTCAACGAAGGGGAGTTGAACAGCGAACACGTGGCGTGGGTGTTCGCACGCGCAAACAACACACGGGGATGGAGCGAAGAGAATGAACCAGCACGCGTTGTGGGCGGACCACGAGAAGAAGGTAGTGGAGGTTAAAGAGGCGGTGTTGGTAGGGAGAGACCAGCTCGATAAAAGGAGTAAACACGAACGGCCACGGCGATTAGACTTTCTCCTTAAAATATCTTTCTTTGACATTTCTTTATATTCATTTCAAATGTTGACAAGAAAAAGAAATTAAAAAAAAATATATAAGGAAGTCCTCCCTTTCTCCCTCTTTTCTATGCTTTAGTAAAAGAAGATGATTGGATTGGAATGGTGGATCGATCGATCGATCGTTCGTTCAGTTCGGTCCGTGGCCCAATCACCCAATCACTTTCTCCGGTTGCCCTTTAAAGAGTCTTATTTGCATAAGACTGGCACCGGTCGCGTCTGATTGGCCGTAATTAGCGATGCGTGGCCCGCGCCCACGCTGGGTCACCGACGGAGTATTAAAGGTAAAGAGGAGGATAAGAAGGAAGACATATGTGAGAGGAGCATATGTGATCAACGCGTAACATACGCTACCTAGACATTTACGCACCCACGCATCTAAAAGACGCGCGTGCCGCTCCACCTTGAATTTCGTAAGATCCTACACCCGAAACGATTTATTGTTCTCAATACTTAAATACAATCCGTAAATCTATGGTAAAAACAGCTGTATCGATAGAAAATAACGATCGTTCGTAATCGTTCGATAAATGTTTCGGATAAAAAGTAAACGGGTTAAAGTAAATAATTTATGTAAATGACGATAATAAGCGATTAACGTGACAGCTAATAATAATATAATACAAATAAAAGCATACGAATGATTTAACGCTAACTACGTTGACCCTTATAAAATGATATCAAGAAAGTATCCGGTATAATCGAGTGAACACTATCGTACCATTTGAGGATAAGTGCATCTCTATGTATGTTACATACGTATGTACAATGTATCACGCACACGTACGTACAAGTATATACGTATGAGGAATCGTTCCGCAAGGATTAATGCGATTGGAAACTTTAACCTTGGCCTTTGATGCTCATTCCAATTTTCTAGGCTCCTATCTCGCGCTCTTAAAGATCAGAGATATAACGAGCGATAAAAGCTCTCGCACTAAGCGCTCATAAGTTATTATTAACGACGAACGATCTAATATCACGATCGAAACGATCGTCCCAAACGATCATCTCGTCTCTCACTTATTCTATCATTCTATCTTTTTCTTTAGCATCTGTGTACGTTCGCTCGGTCGAGCAAAATCACGTTCATCGATAAAGAGCCGGTTTTATTGCGTTCGTCCAGGAGACCATTTGCTGTCATCGGCACGACGACGACGACGACGACGACGACGACGACGACGAGAAAATCGCGACTTGGCCGTACGCGTAACGCGCGCCCCGATAACACGTATCCAAAGTAAAAAAAACCTCTTCCGAGTCGGCACGCATACACCGCGCCTGCCTATCTTATTCGAGAGTAACTTAACGTTTAATTTACGAGCACTATTTCTCTCGACCGTTTAAACGTTCCACAGTTTCTTACTTCGATTTTTCACTACGACAATTAAAACTTGTAATAATAAAAGTAGGAAAAGAGAAGATACCTATATACAAGATGACGATGCAACAGGAATAACAGCAACTACGAGTATTCATCGGAAATTATATATAATACTAAATCGAGAAAATATTATAAGAGAATTGTAGTTTCGAATGGGAAGAAGAGGAAGAGGAGGAGGAGAAGAAAGAGGAAGAGGAAGAGGAAGAAGAAGAAGAGAGAGAGGATCGTATTAAGAGTTATATTAACGGTTTCCGGCTAGGAATATTTTCGCGTCATCTGTTCGACGCCGATCATAAATCCTGACGTTGCGCGTTACGCGGAACTTATTAAAATCGCGAATATCGAATTGTCTGCTCGTCTACCTGCCTCTCCTTTCTTTTCTCTCTTTCTTTCTTACTCTATCATATCAATTATCTCGAATATGTCCGTTTCATTATCCCCATCGTGACGAGAGAACAAAATCGTTTTATCCAATATGAACGAGAGAGAGAGAGAGAGAGAGAGAGAGAGAGAGAGAGAGAGAAGAAAAAGAAAAGAAAGAAGGGGAGACAGATGTAAAGAGAGCGTAGATCCACGCACACGAGTTGACACTGATTGTGAATTTACACATGAACGCGCACTAATATCACTTAAGTCAGTAGATACGCACAAGTGCACTTACTTACTTCTCATGTATACAGCATTAAAGTACGGATATACCATCGCGCGGACGATGCACTTGCGTGGCACGACGGATATTCAACTGTGTCAAGGTTTTACGATAAACAGACTCCCGCCCTCTCTCTATCTCTATCTCTCTCTCTCTCTTTCTCTTCCTCTTTTTTTCTCTATCTCTAATTTCTTTGAATTTTACAGACAAGAGAAAAGAAGAAAATATAAATTTTAGGAGAATTGACAATAATTTCGCGTCTCGTTTAAATCCTCTGTTTATTTTGTTCTCATACTTTGACACTACCAGAGAGGAGAGTCGGTGTGTGCTCGCGAGTAGTCTCGAGTTCAGCTAGGAAGATCTCGGGACACTAGGTGCGCGTTTGGTAGGGGTCCGCGTAAGGTCTCGAGAATCGTGTTAGGAGGGGATAAGGTCGAAGGTCAGGGCTATACGGTCCGACCCGTGACCTCTGACCCTCTCGATCCCTCCGACCCGAGCCGCATGAACCCGCACTCTCGTGCACTTAAGTTCTTCCCTCTTTCTTTCTTTCTTTCTTTCTTACTCTTTCTTTATTTATTTCTTTCTTTCCCTTCTTCCATCTTTTTCCTCTCACAAATGTCAGTCGTCTCGGCAGCCAACCAACACGATATGAGCTTCTCCCATACTCGTATATCTCCGTTTCTCTCTCATATACACGCAAAATGCAAACGCACACTTTGAAATATTCATCTTCTCTTCTCGCAAATCGCATGCTCGCGTCGTTGTCTCCTCGCCTTCTTTCTTTGTGTCCCTATGATATTCTACTTGGAAATCTTCATACGACGTAACCGGAAACTTTGTTCAAATTTGCTGTCAATTTTCAAAATCTCTTTTTCTTATCTGTGTTAAGAGGTTATCGGTTTAAAGGTCGTACTGGTATGTTTTCAGTAACTCGATTAATTCATTCCGGTTTAGAGACGATAGCTACGATAAGAGTCATAATTAAGATAACGACGTGCAAACCCTACTACGTTCCGAACTAATTAGTATTTCTGGTTATTATTATTAATATTATTATTATAGTTCGTACGTAAGTTTAAAGAGACCGATTTATCAATACGCTCGTAATACACAATGTAATAAGTCTATCATAATAATCTAAGTTCACGGAGCCCGTTTCCGGTGAACAAATTGAATAAGAATGAATTTCTACAAAATTTACATCGCTCATACTCTATTGACCTCCGCGAAGTAACTACGACAACGTGGTGAATATGAAACATTGCTCGCAATTACGAAGAAAAGTACAGCAACAAACGAGAAAATTTATTTTTGTCTCCTCTATTTCAGAATAAAATTCAACCAAGAGAGAACTATCTTTTCTTGTCATCGTCGTCGTGGTCTTGGTCTTGGTCGTAGTCGTGGTCGCGGTCGTGGTCGTCTTAGTCTCGAGGATAATTAAACCAACGGCAGATCCAATAAAGAAAGATTTAATCTTTATCACTGATAGAAGTTAAACTTTATAATCTAAGGACAATTAATTTGCTCGATGTAAAGTATTCACCTTATTAAATGAAGTAATTAATTCTCGTTAAGCGTTCGATCCTCCCCTCCCCCTCTTTTTTCTCATTTTTCTCGTTTTTTTTTCATTACTTTTTCTTTTTTTTTTTTCGAGACAAACGACACGGAACATGTGTTCGAGGAAGATATTTTTCATCCAACGATCGGAGAGAGATCACGGCCGTGTCAAGCTCACTAAAGGAACATAAGAACGCTTCTGTGTCGATGAAAATACTCGTAGAATGGTTCGCGCGAGTGTATTATACGTGAAAGTGAGCCCCATTTAATATGAATGTGTGCGGAAGACCCGCGATTGGACCTCTGCACTCTGACCCCTCCGCGCATCGGGACCATTGCTGCGAGCAGCAGAACGGCCGGTTGCTACAAACCGTTTGAAAAATTTCACGCTCTACTCGCGAACGTAACCGATTACATACACCGAACTACCTATTACCTCTTTCTCTTCTACTTCCGTCATCTTTTTTCAAATAGGCACGGTATATACCTGTATATATATATATGTATGTATGTACCTCTACAAACATCTTCTACTTTAAACTTTACCTTTGCATTATTCAATATCTTATAATTCTTAACTCGATGGTCGATTTAAATCGCTACGTCTCGTTTTGTTTTGACTACGTGACGGATTAAATTTTCTGTCTGTGA